CCAGTGCCCCGCAGGTGGCAGCCTGCCTTACCAGTTTTCCTGTGATCGTTCTCTGGGTGGTACTTACCTGCTGCTCCCCAGGCTCCGTAGATTTCACCAGGTGCTTTTCCTTGTACAGAGACCAGAGGCCAATGTTGGGCAGGAATATTAAAGCCACCATGAATAACAAAGTCATCTGCAGAAATCTCTTCTGTTTCCTCTTCATTGCAAATGATAGCAGATGTGAAAAGTTAAAGGAGATGGTTCCCTGACTGCTCCGTGTGAGTAATGCCACAGTCCTTTCCTCTCCCCCGCGAAGCACCAGAAACTGAGTAGCTAAAAACTTTTGTTGCGTGCTCAGCACCAATCTGCACGACTCAGAGGGAGTGGGGCATCTGCAGAACAAACGCACAGTTACTTTCCCCCCAGAAAAACCATGACGATGGCATAATCTACTGGCTTATAAGTAAGTGAGTTGACCGGGGAAATCATCCAGCCTACTGACCTCCATTCATACAAAGCGATGGAGTAAATATAATTGTCTCATAGACCGATCGGAAGTTATGAAGAGCCACTGGCATGCTAGATCCTTACGGAAACGGGAGTTTGGGTGTGTTTTCCCCCCTTAGCGTGGGGGTGTGGGGGGCCGGGTTGGAGAGGAGCGGGTAAGTAATGAGAACCGCGTGGGAGTCAGCGGCTCAGCCCCAGCAAGTGTCAGGAAGAAAGGTCTCCGCTTTTGACATTGGAGCATCACCCTCCCCCTCTTCCCTGAACGCCTCCTGCTACGTTCCCCGGGGATAACCCACCTGAACTCAAGTTGAACTCCCTCCGAAGCCAGCGTGCTCGTGCGCTCCACGGGGACGCAGGGACACGGGGTCCCGGGGAACTCCTGTTTGGAGAGAGGTCCACAAACTCCTGGATGCTCAGCCGCTGCCACCGCTCGTCCCCAGGCAGAGGCGGCGACCCGGGAAGCTGGGGGCGCGGAGGCTACAGATGTCAGCGGGCGCACCGGGAGGCGGAGGCGCGCGCGTTTCCGCGGGCAGCCCTCGGAATGCGATCTTCCTGGAAGTAAGCGCTCTGCCCATCAATCTCTCCCCTTCCTCCGGTGACGCGCTCACGTCCCGCTGTTCATGTTACCATTATTTTCCGGCAACTGAGCGAATGGAGAGGAACGCCAGGAGCACCTGAAAGGGCACTGCCTTCAGTCTGTGTCCCCTCCTCGCGGGAAGGGGGCGGAGGGCGAAGCCCAGCCTGAGCTGGGGTTGCAGGGAGCGAGGGCGCCGGGGAGGGCGAGCTGGCAGGAAAGACGCGGCGCCGCCCCCAGCCGCGCTCCAGGCTCGCGGCGCCCAGCCTTCCGCCGGGACTGTGC